AAGCATTAAAAGTAACTAACTAAATAAATGACTCTAAAGTGATTTCACACAAGCCGACTGGAAGGCCTCGAGCATTCGAGAACATTGATTCTATGAACACAGCAGTGGAACACACAGTGATAAAAATTGTAGCACTGGACAATAACTGTGAAAGTGGAATGACTTTTGCACAATTATGTGTTACGTGTGTATTTTGTATTGCCTATGAGTATTTATTGAAAGGTTATATTGAAAATAGTATTTATATTTGATGAACAATTGTGGGTTATTTATTGAACTTTTGAGTGAAACAATTAATAAATTTTTTACATGCAAAGATTTGTCTTTAGCAGTGCATTTTTGGGTACATAATCATTGACAGCAACATTTTTTATTTTATAGTTTTAATGCCAGGACTGCAGTTCCTCTTCACACACATCCCACTTAGATGGGTTATTATTTTATTTTGCTTTTTGGATTTAATTTTAATTGTAATGTTATTTATTTTAATTACATTTTATTATTATTATTATTGATTATTTTGTTTTTTGGATTTTATTTAAAATTTAATGTTACATATTTTACTTTAATCACATTTTATTATTATTATTGATAGTATGTTAATTTTTATTTATTTTTTATACACACAGTGATAAAAATTGTAGCACTGGACAATAACTGTGAAAGTGGAATGACTTTTGCACAAGTATGTGTTACGTGTGTATTTTGTATTGCCTATGAGTATTTATTGAAAGGTTATATTGAAAATAGTATTTATATTTGATGAACAATTGTGGGTTATTTATTGAACTTTTGAGTGAAACAATTAATAAATTTTTTACATGCAAAGATTTGTCTTTAGCAGTGCATTTTTGGGTACATAATCATTGACAGCAACATTTTTTATTTTATAGTTTTAATGCCAGGACTGCAGTTCCTCTTCACACACATCCCACTTAGATGGGTTATTATTTTATTTTGCTTTTTGGATTTAATTTTAATTGTAATGTTATTTATTTTAATTACATTTTATTATTATTATTATTGATTATTTTGTTTTTTGGATTTTATTTCAAATTTAATGTTACATATTTTACTTTAATCACATTTTATTATTATTATTATTATTGATAGTATGTTAATTTTGATTTTGATTTTTTTTTTATGTTGTGTGCATCTAAAGGAAACAGATGTTTTAATGTCATAATACGTAAGAGACGTCCCCCCCCCCTGCTCTTCGTCTTCCCACACATCCCACTCACATGGGTTAATGGAGGCTCTTAGTCACCTCCAGCACACAAAGCCTGGCACCTTTCTCAGTGTGCCTCATAAAAAGACAAAAAATCTATTCTATTCACATACACACGCATAATTAACTGCTACCAACAGGATCATTCCATTTTTCCAGAATATACGGCCAAGCAGAGGTGTTTTTTCCAGGAAAGCTGTGTGGTGATGAGGCTGGTCTCCATGGCGACAGCGTAGACCACTCATCTCACCCACTCCACGCCTCTGCAGGAGACTGTTTATCTTCTGCAGTGATGGCACTGAGAGACAGCGGCCCACTCTGACTCACCTGCTCTGAACCCCTTTATGCTGCCCTTTAAAACTGGTGTCTGCAATCATTCTCACCGTTAACATTTGAACAGGGAAATCTGGCTCAATAACGCTCATAGAACAGACTAAACAGTCATAGAACAGGCTTATGAAAATGGACCATAATTGTAGTCTTTTTTATAAAAACCTTTTAGTTTTATAAAAAGAGAGAGCCTTTTATTTTCTACTTCTTAAAAAAATAAATGCCTTTAAGAACTCAGAAACTGAAACACACTGATCTTAACATCAAAAGTATTTTTAATCTCCAAACATCCATATAGACATGGCCAGACACCCCCAGGTAAATAGGGTCAAATGTAACATTGAGAATTGAAAGAAGAAAATTTGTTTTAAAAAATTTCTGAAATGTTATGTTTGAATGTGCAAATTAGACAACATCTAATTAAATATGTGAGAATGTGCATGCATTTCCAGAATAGAAATATTTTTTTTTTTTTTTTTTGACATTACAGTTTGTATAGAGAGGATTTTGGATATCTCCTTTTATCTCTCCATGAACCTGAAAATACTGTCAACAGCCAGAAAAGAAAAGGAATAAAATAATGCATTTTTTATTTTCTTCTCTTTATGAAAAGCCAAATAGCCCAAAATCTCAAAACTGACCAATGCGTATGAAAAAAAACCCAACATTAACAGAACTATGAGAGAGAGAGAGAGAGAGAGAGAGAGAGAGAGAGACCCAATATTACATTATATTGAGGGTCTTAAAATATTATGTCTACCCCTGTTGGTAGATGTTGTAACTACATTTCTAAAAAGGATCTTTCTTCATTGAACACCATTTAAAAGTAGTTGTGAATTCTAACAAAATAACTCCACAAATGATATGAAACATAATGTATTATATAATGTATATACTGTATACAGTACACATAAAATGTGAGTCCATATGATTTCTTTTTTTATATGGACTTACATTTTATGTGTCTGTTGTCTTTCATGGCATAGCCTAGGAAAGTTCTTCTCATGAGAATAAATGGCAGATTCAGAGGGTCCTGTGCCAGCCAAGCAGCTGCCATTGAGATGAACAGGAAAGCTAATAAATTTCCACGTATTAGAGACTTCCTTGTTATTACTATTAGATAAATGCATGTATTGTTTTTATCTAACAAAACTATATATTTGTGTAGAAACAGTAATCTGAACACTTAAAATGAATTTTGAAACTACATTTGAAACAACTACTACTATTACTGTAGTAATAACCAAGAGTCCCTCAGTTGCCTAACAAACTGTTTCATGTATCTGCAACTTTTTCTCCAAACTTATGTTTTTGTTTTTCTTCTTAATTTTATTAAATGTATTTATTGCAAGTAATGTGACTATAGTAAAACCTTTTCAAAGGGAAAGGCCGGACTGTGGAGGCCTGTGGATTGCTCGACAGTGAGCTCACTCTGCCGGTGCTAAATCCAGGACTCACTCTTACAGGAAGAGGACATTTACATCTTCTTCCTAAGATGTCTGAGGATGTGATGCACTTTCTATTTTGGCAGTATGATTATGGTAAGTGCTGATGAAATGATCAACAATGTCAACAGACTGCCATGTCACAGTTATTTGCAGTAAATACAGCCACGTTTAGTCACTGCTGCTGTTTAAGGTGACATACACCCACCTCCCTGCAGAAGTTATTCATAACTCAGGGCTGTGTATGGCGAAGTCACACTTGAGCATGCAGGCACAATAGAGGAGCGGTATATATGGAGGGGACAGATTTCAGAGAAATGATCAGTATTTTTCGTCTCTATTGTTCGGCCTGACTGTGGATCATTTGTAGCCACTATTCCCGAACACGAGCTGGTGATGAGGCCAGTCCTCAAAAATCAGTCGGCCAGGAAGGTGGAGTGAGGGTTTTAACTACTGTTTCTTTTTAATCCCTCACTTTACCCTCAACAATTGTTTAAATATAAACATCATGGGATTATAGAGATTTATTTTTTCTTATAATGGTTGTCTTAGTCATGTGTCTTGTTTCCCATTGGTTTGTTCATGTCATGTGACCCTCCTTGTCTGCTATAAGTAGCCATCATGTTCCCATTGTACCTGGTCGTGTATTGATGTTGTAACCCGCTGTCGGTTAGTCTAGTCTGTTCATGCCTCGTCAAGTCTGTCTCTAGTCTTTGTCTGTTTGGATCACGTCTGTAAATAAACTGCAAATGCGTTCATCACTACACTCGCCTTCAGTGGACTGAATCGTTACACATGAAGATGTTTAGTAAATTTCCTACCGTAAATATATTAAAACGTAAATCTAGATTAGTGATATGCATTGCTAAGGGCTTCATTTGGACAGCTTTAAAGGCAATTTTCTGAATATTTAGATTTTTTTTGGACCCTCAGATTCCATATTTTAAAATAGTTGTATATCAGCCAAATATTGTCCTATCCTAACAAACCATACATCAATGTAAAGCTTATTTATTGACCCTTATGACTGGTTTTGTGGTCCACAGTCACATATGTATATAATAATACAAAAATGTTTTGATGTAAAACAACTAAATCTTACTAGAAATATTTATTGTATTTTATTAACACTGTACAAAATATTTTGGAAGTTGTAAATTAAGCAAAGATTTCTGGAGTATGTTTTACCATAAATAAATAGATAAATTAATTAAATAAATTACAGCACAATGTACTGTATTCGTTTGAAGAAATTTTCCATATTGTTTTTTTTGTTTGTTTTGTTTTACCTGTATTTTTAATTTTGCACTTCACCGAATTGTGTTTTAATGGAAATATCCACAAAATTACTGGATGAACCAGAGTTAATGTGGCCTGTGCATAAAACATTTCCAGACTCATTTGTACAATTTGATTTATATGAAAATATGAAGTATGAAGCTTCACTCCCATAACCTCACCCATAAACCTATCCTTGTGTAAGCAAGTTGTCGATAAATGTATGAATGAGATCATATGAATTTATAAGAATTTATCCTAGTTATAGTTTCTAAACTGATTAGAAGCGTTAAGATCACTGATTCTTATACAATGTGATTATTGCTGTGCAGTTTAAGTGGATCATACGAAGGCATATGAATGAAATTGCATACGAATTCATACGAATTAACCGCCATTCGCCAGTTAACTGGACGGTGCACATGGTCATAAACACATCACTTAAGACTCAAGCACTAAAATAATGTTTAAAACACTAAATAACATCAAATGTAATGCAAAACATCCAAATGTAAATTCTTGTTGACAAAAAAAAAACTGTTTAAATAAAATATAATCATATGATGTGTCTCACAGCAGCTTCTGGGAAAGTCGTTTTACTGTTTTAAAACACAATTACACAGTAATTTATAGCTGTTACTTCCAAAACCATAAATTTCACAGTATTTTACAGTGAAATTATAATGCAATTATGTTAATAAATAATACAATAATACAATATGTTGGAAATAATTGACAACGGGCTGTTTAGCAAATGCACAACCGAGGTGGTGATGTGTTTTCTTAGGTTTTTTATTTATTTATTTATTTTTGTATATTGCAAGGATAACTTATATTAACCAGTTAACAGGTGTTAACAGTATACTTTTCCTGTAAAATTTACACGCATTTTTTTTAAGTGTTTGATTACTAACAGTAACAACACTGAAACTGCTTATAGGGAGGAAGTGGGTGTAAGAACAACATCCTGTTTCAGTTACACCAAAAACAAAGTTGATCACTGACATTAGGTGGGTGGAAAGAGGACATTTAACAATAAGAGTAAAGAAGTGGAAAGAATAAAAAACATTGTGGTGATGCTATTGCCTAATATCTAATTTAGTCTGAAATGACTTCTTAATTAAGCTTCAAATTTCACAGGTTTGCATGTTTTATGGGGACTTCCCATAGACATAATGGTTTTATACTGTACAAACTGTATTTTATATCCCCTTTCCCTAACCCCACCCCTCACAGGAAACTTTCTGCAAATCTCTTATCAGTGCAAGTTGCGCAAGTTTCCTAGACATTTATCATCTGTTTGATTTGAGATTTACATGTTATAATACACATTTTTTCAAACAGAACCTGTAGCCTGATAAATGATAAATTCATTTGCATTTCATATGTTGTTTTTGGATGTCCCCCTCAGACCTATATAGCATGTATGTTCATTAAAAATCAACTCTGGTGGACTGTTAAAAACAAAACATGACACTTGTTCGGGTCAAAAATGACCCGTATAAGCCTCAATGTAAAAAAGAATTTGACTATTATATACAATATAAAAATATACAGAATATTAATATACAAAATGTTTAACATTGTTCCTTTGTATTTATTTATTAAAATAAAGTAAAAAATGCAATATATATATATATATATATTTATTTATTTTTTCTTAATTTAGATGTTACCATTTTTAGGTTACCATTTTTTAAGTTTAAGGCTCATGTCATGATTCATGTTTTAATTAATTCAACCCGTCATGTTTTGTACCATTTTCAGTATGAGTTTAAAATTAAGAACATCAAGAAGAAGAAAGTCAGCATTATTGTGTCAGTGGATGGTGTCAAGGTGGTTTTGCGGAAGAAGAAAAAGGTGAGGTGTTTCAATTTTTTTCTCCTCGTAATTTTATTATAACAGTTATTTCTGATCATGTATTTTTTGTACAATTTATTCTGTATATACAATTAATAATGAGCATATTTCTTGACTAAACATGTGCTATATATTTATGTTAGAAATATGACTATAGCTGGGATGAAAGCCAAGTGACACTGGCCCAGGACCCCATTTTCAGGTGCTTTAACCACAACTTGTTTACATAACGTCGATTACTAATTTTGCTCATGACTGGAGTGACATGGCCTGTGGGGTTTGATGACCTTTGTCATTTTGCACGCACACGTCACATCAAAATCATTTTGCTCCGTGAGCTGCAACTAAAAACAGAATATCTTTCGAAATCCCCATAGCAACCAGTCTCCAGTGCACATTAACACACTGTTTAACAGTAACATCATTAGTGTTGACTAGTGTCAGTCCACTCTAGTTTTATAGTATTAAAACAATGTCAGTTATTACCAACATGTTTGTTCTGAAATGGATCTATTTCTAGAGTTTCAGTTTGACGCCAATGTAATGTAACACTAACATTTAGCTGTTGCACTTTCAAAATCTAGTGAGCACTTTTAATGCATTTCTGTAATGTTTTATGACATGTCAAACGAACCAAGTAAGTGAAGAGCACATTGGCCTTGTTGTTGCCATGGCAATAAGACAGTTTTAAGGTCAATTGCTGCAGCTCATTAGTAATTTTTTTTCTTTTCAGAATATTTTACGTCTCTCATGACTCACAGGACCTGAAGATATTCAGTTACATAGCAAGAGACAAAAAAAGCAATGTGTTCCGCTGCAATGTCTTCAAATCGAAGAGAAAGGTAAGCATCACCATAATACAGGAAATCCACCAGACATTTGATTATATCTGCACAAATATGTTAATAATATTGATTGATTGCCCAGGAATGGAAATGGTAAAGTGGGATGTCTTAGCGGAGGATTCATTCTGATGGGGATCAGTTATTTAGTTGTCATATTATTCATGAGATGATTTACAATAACAGGGCTCGGTACTAAGGATGGCCTGCTGGTCCAGGACTAATGTGAGAGAGTTTTGTGCCCTACAGACTTAACATTTGGCTTTCTTTGATGTACTGTATTCTACATTTTTGTTACATTGTCTTTGTGACAATTGATGATCTTGATGGCAAATAAGCAGAATTGCTAATGTCAGCTAGTCATAATTTTCCAGCAAAAAAAAAGTTTCATTATTAATTTTTACAAGATGTTAATAAACATATTGTCATGTGTGGCTGCGGTGAAGAGCACGACGCAGGAGCAGGATTGGGAAACCACATATTTATTATAACTCTAACACAGAGAACTCAGAGAACTAGGAAGACAACCACATTACAAAGACGACACTGGACAAAGGAACCAAGGAACGCTTTAAATACAGAACTAAACGAGGGTAATGAACTGGACACACCTGAACCAAATGACTAATCAAACAAGTGGGAAAACTAGGTCACGGAGCACATGGGGAGAAAAACATACACACAAACAGTCCATACTCCTGACACATATATGGGCCATTCTACAGAATTGGTGCAAACTGCTGTCCCACAATGAAAAAACACATTTAAAAAGCATTTAAGAATTCAAATCTTAGATGTTTACTAAGATCCTTCTATTATCTATTGAAATCCACAATAATATTTAAAATATCGGTACGCTTAATATATATAAAATCATAATTTATTGGGTACTTTCAATTGGGAGGTGGCTGTCTTGAACTCTAACCCATAAATTTCAACTTATGAAAATAATTTTTTTGCATTTTATTTCATTGTTGTTTTTAATATATATATTTTTAATGTTTTTAAAAAGTTCAAAAAATATTTATTTAATATTTTCTTTGTAAATTATTCAACTTTGTTTAAAAAAAATTCCGTAATTTCATGCCACTAACGAAACTAATGTATGTTTTAGTCCATTGACTGAGACTTTAAGTACATCCCTAAATTTATGATCTGGAAATATTCCTGTGTCCCCCTCTGTTACACTTGTACACTTACACCTGTGTCTACAATTTTTTTAAAGAGTGTGTTCCCAAAAAATACACCAACACATAGACTTTCCAACACAGGGAAACAACAATCTGGACATTGTTTACACCACCTAGAGAGGAGCTTACAAGACCCTCCCCCTCCCCCACCTCGGTGCCTCAGACCACATCACTGTCATGCTAATGCCTGCATACAGACCGCTCGTTAAAGTCGCCAAACCAGTTCACAAACAGATACAAGTCTGTCCGGAAGGGTCGTCAGAGGTACTTCAAGACTGTTTTAACACCACTGACTGGAATATGTTTGAGCAGGCTGTCACAAATAATAACACCACAGACCTCCAAGAGTACTCAGAGACTGTCACTGCCTACATCACCAAGTGTATTGATGATGTAACAGTAACAAAGACCATCACTGTCCGGGCCAACCAGAAGACTCCTGAAGGCTCGGAACGCTGCCTTCAGAGCTGGAGATGAGGTGGGCCTGAAGACAGCTAGGGCCAATCTATCCCGTGGCATCAGAGAGGCTAAGAGACAGTACTCCAGGAGGATAGCCTATCGTTTCAGCCACAGCAGAGACACTCGGAGCCTGTGGCAGGGGATACAGACCATTACATACTACAAGCCCCCACCGCGGACCTGTGACAGCACTATCTACCTGCTGAACGAGCTGAACACCTACTTCGCTCGCTTTGAGGCACAAAACAGCACCACTGCACAGAAGACTCCACCTCCTCCCGGCGACCAGGTGATGACGCTGTCCCCGGACAGCGTGAGGAGATCCCTCAGCAGGATCAACGCACGCAAAGCTCCGGGTCCTGACAACATTCCTGGGCGTGTACTGAGAG